TCACACAGTCCTTCGTGATAATTAGAAGATTTACATAGTAAAGGTATAAAAACAGAAGTTGCTGGAAAAGCTCAGCAGGTCTGGCAGCATCTCTGAGGAAAAAAAATTCAGAGTTAACGTTTTGGGTCTGGTGACCCTTCCTCAGAACCCTTCTGAGGAAGGGTCACTGGACCCAAAACATTAACTCTGATGTTTTCTTCACAGATGCTGCTAGACCTGCTGAGCTTTACAGCAACTTCTGTTTTTGTACCTGATTTATGGCATCCACAATCCTTTCAGTTTTTACATAGTAAAGGAATTTGTCTTTTCTGTATTCCATAAAACGTCCATGCTCCTATCCCCTGCAGAAATACCAAGAATTTGATTTTTTTTAATTCAATCCATGCCAGTATTTCGCATACAGTATCTTGCTGTAATTTTGCTTGCCATATGTTGAGTGGAGTCTTATCAAAAACCTTCTCAAGTCCAAATGTACCACATCCAATGGTTTCTCTTTATTTATTCTGCTGATTACACCCTCAAAAGAAAATCTCACAGGTTTGTCAACATGATTTCCTTTTCCTAAATCCATTTGACTCTGTCCAATCCTTCTAATAGTTCCTGAGTGTCGGGTTAACATAGAGTCATACAGCATGGAAACAGACCCCTCGGTCCAACCAGTCCATGCTGACCATAATCCCAAACTAAACTGGTCCCACCTGCCTGCTCCGGGCCCATATCCCTCCAAACCTTTCCTATTCGTAAACTTATCTAAGTGATTTTTAAATGTTGTAACTGTGCCCACATCTACCACTTCCTCAGGAAGTTCATTTCACACACAAACCACCCTCTATGTAAAGAAAATTGTCCCTCGTCTTTTTAAAGTTTCTCTGCTCTCACTTTAAAATTATGCCCTTCGCCTTGAAATCCCCCATCCTAGGGAAAAGACAACCACCATTACCCCTATCTATACCTATCATGATTTTATAAACCTCTAATAGGTCACCTCTCAAGCTCCTACGCTGC